GTGTGTGTGTGTGTGTGTGTGTGTGTGTGATCCTAAATAGCTAATCCTAGAATGAACAAACAGCCATGGCTATACCTTCAAGATATGTTCATTGGATGCTTTGTCGTCAGGGGACACATACAAACGGATGAACACAGAATTGCTGTATTGACCACGGAATGTTGCCAGTGTTTGCAGTAGACTGAATTTTCTCTCTGACCAAACTCCTTCAGGACCAATATTAGCTTCAAGCACTGGCCAGCGGAAAGGTGAATGCCGCAAGATGTGGAGCAGTGGCTTGGCATCTGCTTTTTCAATCGCTTCTGAAAGAGTAGATACAAAGAGCAAGTTAGAAATGTAAATTAGAATCCTTGCACTTGGGAGATAGAGGCTGGAGGATCAGAAATTCTAAGCCACCCTCAACTTCATGGTGATTTCTCAAAGCCAACCTGGCTCCATGAGACCCTAACTCAAAACAATGACAAAAATAAATTCCAAACTGGTTCACCAAGCAAGACTGCAAATTTATCTTCTCCAGAAAAAGTCCCATAAAGCCCTCCACTTGAAAGTTCAGCTGTTAGAGAGAGGGTGAGAAAAGGAGAGTGGACTGAAAATAACTCCAGGAACAGAACTATCTGTCACAGACTTCAGTGAACCTGGTGGAAGTTCTCTATAATGAAGATGGGCTTAGTGAATAGATCCCAGACAATGAATGAACTTAAGCAGGTGGTACTCATTATTGGCACCAAGGAATAACCTTAACTAAACAATATGGTTCACTTAAGACAAAGATGTCCCAGTGGATAGGTGTTTCTAGCATATCAAACAATATCCCCACATCCTAAATCAGTTAACACACTTTTTTAGAAGCACTGGCCTCAACTCTGCAATGGCCTTGAGAGACTAGCTTGAGGCCTTTGTCTCCCAACAAGCATGCCAGTTAGATGACAAAGTAGCCTGACATGCCTGGAAATCTAAATGGTACTAGGTTCCAGTATTTTCTATGGAACATAATTCACATATGTATATGTCATCTTGAACTTTTTCTTGGCCCAGAACTAGCCTGGATATGGATTTCAGATTTTTGTACTAGATATAATGGGATTTTCCCTGCTGCCCTATCCAAGTTCTTATATAGTAACTGATACTAAATAATCCAGTCCTGGAAATAAGGTTATTTCCTTGTGGCTGGATTGATGGCACAGCTGTTAAGAGCACAGGGTGTCCTTGCAGAGGACTTAAGTTCAGTTCTCCACACTCAGATTGGGTAGTACACAACAGCATGTAACTCCAGTTCCAAGAGCTCTGTCCTGGCTGGTTGTGTGTGTCAACTTGACACAACCTGGAGTTATTACAGAAAAAGGAGCCTCCCTTGAGGAAATGCCTCCATGAGATTCAGCTGTAAGGCATTCTATCAATTAGTGATCAAGGGTGGGAGGGTCCTGCCCATTGTGCATGTTGCCATTCCTGGGCTGGTACTCCTGGATTCTATAAGAAAGCAAGCTGAGCAAGGCAGGGGAAGCAAGCCAGTAAGTAACATCCTTCCATGGCCTCTGCATCAGCTCCTGCTTCCTGACCTGATTGAGTTCCAGTCCTGACTTCCTTTGGTGATGAACAGCAATGTGAAAGTGTAAGCTGAATAAACCCTTTCCTCCCCAACTTGCTTCTTGGTCATGATGTTTGTGCAGGAATACAAACCCCGACTAAGACAGGCTCCTACAATCTTATCTGACCTCCACAGTCCCACAGTACTCATGCATTCATGTGTGTGTGTGTGTGTGTGTGTGTGTGTGTGTGCACCTGTACACCTAATTAGAAACATAAAATAACAAAATCAAAAGGTCTTTACAAGATTATTTTCTTCACTACAACAGCCACATATTAGCTAAAAAAAAAAACTCATCAAATTCCAATGTTTGAGAATTTTTATTGCCTAAATAACACCTTTAAACGGTAATAGAATTTTAGTCCTCTCTTCCTTAAAAATATCATTAAACATTAATAGGATTCTGAAGTCTAAGGATCATAAATATTTTATTTCTTTTTCTTTCTTACTCACTCTCATTCATGCAGGATGAATAAAGGATTTTGGCTTTCTGTACAGCTTCAGTGTCCCGCCTTCGACTGACTGATTTCTCCAGAAGTCCTAGGAAGGTGAAAACAGGATTCATTAGCATCCATCCATATATGATGTCAAATTGAAGGTCAGCCTCCAGAAAATTAAATACGAAGACAGACAACTCTGAAAAATACAAGGCATGCAGGCAGCAGGAGAGATTCCAAGCTGCTTGAGATCCAAATAAAAACAATAAATGTTCTCTTATCCAAGGTTCACCTAAATCAAAAGAAACCCAAGGTTCAACTTCCATCTGAGACTAGACTTTCTACAGGGGTTAATTTCTTCCACCACCTACACAAAAGGAAGCAAACTTCATTTATTAAAGAACCAAAAATAACTAGATTCAGTCTGTTGTTTCTGGACCAAGTAATACTCTCAATGGAAGTAATTTCATCAGGGTCAAGTTTCTTAAGATTTTTTTTCATAACTCAGCCTCTCAGGGAGGTCACCTGGAAAAGAATTTCCCATTACAAGTTTTATTTGGTGTTGCATAAACATGTCATAGACATTTTTTAAAAAGTTGTTGCAACAGGAAATAAAGAAGCAAGGTTGGAAAGCCTACCCAAATTGTCTAAAAAATGTGGCCACTTATACATGCAAAGTTCTGAATATTGAATTGAAGCCATAAACAAAAAAAGTCTTCCAGATCTTCTTAGAAATTTATTTTCTACTTATAAAACCACCAATAAGAATATTTGAAGGTTAAAAAAAGCCAAATGGTTATTGTCACTCTTCTTTCAAATAAGGAATGAAGAAAGCCAGAACTTAGTGGAAAGAAACTTCTTTAAAGGAAAAAATGAAGGGAAAGGGATGGGAAGAAAGGAGGGATGGAGAGATGGATGGACAGAGGGATGGAGGAAGAATTCACTTTGAATTGGCCTGTATCAATTTACCAACCTGAAGCCAAGTTGATCAATCCCTTTGGCAAGGCCTATTTTCATGTTGTAAAACTGCTGCTATCAGGGAACACACTTGACAGCCTCCAAATTCACAGTGGAATAGATGTTCCTTCAGCTCTCTGAAGAGCTTCAAGGCACAATGTTTAATGCTAATCAATTTGATAAATTGATATATAATTGATAAATTATTAAATTGATAAATATATAATTGATAAACTGATATATAATTGATAAATTGATTACATATTCTCAGAACTGACTTCTAAACTGCAAGTTTTACACTTCAAAAAACTGAAACCCAAAGCTCTTGTTCAGTTTTTTTTTTTAAGATTTGTTTTTTTTATTATGTGTCTGTGTGTTTGTTTTTATGTCTATGTATGTGCTTGTTTGCAAGTGCCAACAAAGGCCACAAAAGGGTGCTACATCCTCTGGAGCTAGAGTTAAAGGCTCTTGTGAGCTGCCCAATGTAAGTGCTGGAAACTGGTCCTTGATTTTTATTTTTATAAGCATCTGCACATTAACCAAGCCCATAACACTACATAGATTCTAACAACCTAAACGCTTGTTTGATATGAACATTTTAAATTACATGTTTTGTATTTCTTATGTATCATCATAGCAAGAAAAGTTAGACAACCTGCTCCAGAAATAAAGGAGGTTTGTTTTTCAATCAACAACATGCTCAAACCATTTCCACACATACTTCCACTTAGGTCATCTTACATGCCTTTCTGATACATCGCACATGCAGGTTACAGTCATTAGACTATTGGAAAGACACATTTGGAAGTAAAGAATCCAAATTTCATTTTGGGTTCTGATGATATTTCAATGTTATAAACTCTTGGTAGGCTGCACACACGAGTGCCTGAAGGATCAAGAAACAAGCCACAGGAGCAAAATGAAGCACAGGCTTTTAATACTTAACTATTTGTGTTTCCAATGCATATTGTAGACCACAGGAAAAAAAGAGGAAACATATGTTGAACAGATCAATCCTAAAATTCTAGCCATGCACAAACATTAATAATTTATACTGTTCAAAATTCTGGTTTCTGTACTAGAATGTGGCATTTCAAAGAATATTTTGCTAATGCTCTGTTCTTTGTCACAACCTTTCTCTGCTCCTCTCCCCTTTCTCTCTGTATCAAAGCAGGCAGGAAAGCATTGCTGTGCAGATTGGGATGTGGCCATAAGCTCCAACACCACTTTCTTTATCTCAGCATGTGCATTTGTGAGAAAAGAAATAAGACCAAGCCTGAAGAGTCATTAGTAAGCAGAAAATAATACCCACCTGTCACAGGTAATTAATTATTCACATTATTAAAATGTCTTCAATATGGGGAGGTCACCCATATAGGACTTTCCCTGCATAGCCAGTGTTATTAGATTTTTCAATCTTTCCTCCTCTAGGGAAAGGCTGGAAGAAGCTGAGGGCAAGGGTAGCCCCATAGGAAGACCAGCAGTCTCAACTAACCTGAACCCCTGAGATCTCTCAAACACTGAGCCAACAACCAGACAGCATACACGAGCCGATATGAAGCTCTGACACATATACAGCAGAGGACTGCTGTGTCTGGACTCAGTCAGAGAAAATGTACCTAACTCTCAAGAGACTGGAGGCCACAGAGAATGGGGAGGTCTGGTGGGGTGGTGACATCCTCATGGAGATGGGGGGAGGTGGTATGGGATGAGGATCTGTCGGAGGGTGGATGGGAAGGGGGTAATGACTGGACTGTAAGAAAATAAAAGTAATAAAAAAGAAAGAAAGGAAGGAAGGAAGGAAGGAAGGAAGGAAGGAAGGAAGGAAGGAAG